GAAGATGAGAACATTGAGAGGGAAATTGTTTTGAACGAAGAAGTTTCGTAAAAAGCGCGAACGGTAGTGTGAATGATTTTTTGACTGAGAAAATAAGCAAATAAACAAATTAAGAGTTTTAGTAGTATATAGATAGATTCTTCAAGATCTTTTTTTTTTCTATCTTACGCCTTTTAATGAAGATGGAAACATTGACAGGGAAATAATATAATAGCCAATGCTCGGCGAAAGGTTTTCGTTTATAAAATGTTGTTTTTGTTCTCGACTTGCTTTTTATTTTATTACCTCGTCTCCATAGCTACTATATGCAAAGAGTCAATATTGTTGTTCTTTCTACATACCGTTATAACACATTTTCATCTCATCATTTAATTTCTGTTGTGCATATATTGTTGTATCGAAGATATTTTAAAGTGATTCATCAGGTGGAGAACGAATAGATAGATAGATAAACCGATATGTGTCGCCATCTAGTGTACCTAAATTCATCTAGAAATTTTCATAAAAGTGACCCGAAAAACGGGGCTGACTCGGTAACCCGTGGCCCGATTTTAACGAAACTTGTTTTATTCTCTTTCTATTCTCATTTCATTACAAATATGGCACTATTGTGCGCCCTTTTTTGCTGTATTTAATTACAGACAAGCACACACACGCAAACAATCTCAGTGTTTTACTAGTATATAGATATCCTCTTTAGGGTTATTCATAAACACCACAATCTGCCAGTTGTGAAGAGTTTGTTTGTTTGTTTTTTATAGGATATCCGCGGCTGTCACTAATTTTGGTTAGACGCTATATAGCTGTAATTATTTTCATGTATACAGACTGGAGCTCCCCACTGGTTAGCGGTAACTCTGAAAGCTTATAATGATGTAGCTTTGCACTTAACAACAAACAAACAATACATAGTGAAATTTAACAATTAGGCTGATGTATGTGGTTGGTTGGTTGTTTGAATTTCGGGCAAATTGAGCTCTGATTGTAACGACGTGTTCATTTAGACCATTACAATGATGTTATGTTCTTATTTTCAGTTGTTTTTTTTATATTAAAATTGGGTTCATTGATTTATATGTTGCTTCTTAGATCTGATCTATATAATTAGCTTACTTTAATCAGAAATTATTAATCATTACATGAAAGTCTCCGTCCTTTGTTTAACCGTTTAGACACCTTAATTTAAAGTGGTCAGATTACTCTCTATTGATATTTCAAAACCAACAAAATGTGATCATTGATGTTCTTCTTTGTGATATAATAATTTTATTGAAATTATGTTGTGTGCCAAAACTAGTTATATCTCTTTTTAATAACCGTGTTCTATAATCTCTCTCGACGATGTTTCTTCTAATTTATTTTAAGACACTTTTGTCTGGCCGGAATGTTAACTAATTCTATTTCATTTTTACCCGCTAGAACCAGTTGTTTGTAATGTGCTATGAAAACTATATTTAAAGTTATATGATACAAAGAAATATTTTCATTATTTCTCCTAAAGATCTCGTCAGATATTTTCCTTGTATTATTTAATCAAACTTCTTAATTATTCTAATAGTTACATTGTATATCTTCCATACATTTCACTTGAATATTTATTAGATATATTTCTTATAATGGATATACTGCATAGATTTTTTATTTTTGACAAGGATAAATAATGCTAACAGATAATTATAGTTTTATCTCATGATCTTTAATGACGGATAAACAAAACATCTGAAACACTCGAAGATAATATGTATCATACGTAAAGTATCAATATAGTGCTAATACATTTGAACCACTTAAACAGTGTGACAACTTAATTCAAACATTACGTAGAAGAGTGTCTATATGGGTTATACAGCCTATCAGTAAGTAAAAAGACATCCATTTCAAAAATAATGCTTTTTATAAAAGAAACAAGAGTGAAAGGTGGTACAAGATTACGTTGGTATTTAGTGTGCCTACATTTTACAATATTTAAAGCAGAAACACGGTTACACATTATATTTAGAAGAGCTGAGATCTGGGCTTGTGGGATAGTATTTTAACATTGACGAATAATTTTGATGAGGGTGTTTCTAGAAGTTTGTTGTTAGGGACACTTTCACAAGGAACGATAAACGATTGACATTGATCTTCATGCTCTTTTATTCTTATGCTCAAAGACCGTTTAGTCTGACCTATGTATACTTTGTTACACGAGAATTGGATCGAATATATTCCTTGTTTTAAGATGCAGTTAATGGGGGTCTTTCCATTTATTTAGTTTCCAATTAGCTTGGAAATTAGTTTGATTTGGTTGTTGTTCAATAATATACCTATCTTATTTGAGATTTCTGGATAATTAGGTAAGCATATAGGTGGGTTTGAATTCGTTTTTTCTATACTATTTTGTTAGCTTTCTTTATAAAACTCTTATTTAATTTTGTAGAATAAACTGTTGATTATATTGTTCTACAAAATTAAAAAAGACTTATAAACAAAGACAAGGAAATAATATAGAGAAAATAAATTCAAACTCACCTATATGTTTACCTTATTATCCGGAAACAGAAATGTTGCCGTTTGGAAGTGAAAAAATCTGTTGTCGTCGCTCGTGTATGCCAAACTCACCTATATGTTTACCTTATTATCCGGAAATAAAATTGTTGCCGTTTGGAAGTGGAAAAATCTGTTGTCGTCGCTCGTGTATGCCAAACTCACCTATATGTTTACCTTATTATCCGGAAATAAAATTGTTGCTGTTTGGAAGAGGAAAAATCTGTTGTCGTCGCTCGTGTATACCAAACTCACATATATGTTTATCCTATTATCCGGAAACAGAATTATTGCCGTTTGGAAGTGGAAAAATCTGTTGTCGTCGCTCATGTATACCAAAAAATATTACAAAATCAAATTCACAGAAAGAAAACTCTTCGCAGAACCAAATTATTTTCACCAACTAAATATCAGAGAAGATATTGAACTACATAAGAATGCAGACAGACTCATATACAATGATATGAGATTTCAACTGAATCCATTACGGAAAACATTCTTCAATGGAACAAGCATGAAGAAATCAGACGGTGAAAACACTACTTTGAAAATGACGCATGTGGTACGTAGAAATTAAGACGGGTAATTAACTCTACATTTTTGTAAATTTGTGTTATTTTCTTACTTATTTTTGTACTTATAAGATTGTTAATATTCATAACACCTGTATTAATTATATGTCTAAAGAGCTAATAGATCTAAACCATTAGAAAAGTATGTCTACCTAAACTTAGTTATTCACTACTAGAAAGTTTCTATAGAGATAACACATCTGAACCACTAATACAATGCGTCTACCTAGATATAGCAACTAAAAGAAAGTGTTAGTCAGTTAAGTCACCTTAGCCATTAGTATAGTAGCCAACGCACTTAAACAATTAGAAGAAAATGTCAACTTGGCTAAGCCATCTAATCAACTAGACAAGTGTCTACATAAGACCTCTACGGAAATAGAATATACTATCTGCTTAACTAAAACAACTGAAACATTAGAAGACTTGTCACTTGATTAATACATAAGAGAGAAATACATTATTTAAATTTACGTGACAGAAAAACTACGTACCATTATACAGGGTGAATGTGTTTCTATCAACTTTTGCAAACTCTGTATTTCCATTGCTTTTCTGAGAAGTGAAGATTCTAAGTAGGAAAAAAAAACGCACCAAAAGTAGAGAAGTAAAGTGGTAAATCAATAAATAATTAACCATAAAAAAATAAAGTTAATTTAGATTGATAGATATGTCTCATCTTAAGAAAATACATAGAGACGTGGAAAATACAGTATTATGAATTATAACCTAACACATCCAAAAGGAAAAATAATTTTTGCAGTCATTGAGGACAAAGGATGATATTTTTTTATATTCTACATAAATATTGTCTAATTTCACCAGTATCTTATTTTTTGTTTCGATTGCTTTGGTTACAACAAACTCTGAGTTAACATTAGTTTCAACTTTTTTTTTAAAAACACAACATACAATGAGGCAGAATAGAAAGGTACAATTCTATAACAGTTTACTCACCTAAGGTGTTTGATACAAACTCAGAAACATATCATTAGAAAAAAATGATTAAATTGCATTTTTGTACAACATAACTACGTAATTAAAAGTGTTGCTTGTTTGTTTTATCTCATAAAGACACAATGGGCTATTTGCGCTTTGTCCTCCACGAGGAATCGAACGTTGAATTTTAGCATTGCAAGTCCGTAAATTTAGCACTGACCCACTTGAGGACTCAATTAAAAATTCATACACTGGCATGTTGTTGTGGCTCTACTAAGAACTTAATTTTCTACATAGATGAATTCCGGAATATTTAAACGTGCAACGCCAATACGAGTAAGAAATGGCTAGTATACAAAAAACATTTCCAAACAGATCAACTGTACATACTTCAAGACTGTTAAACGATGTACAACAAAATGACACAACATTTTGAATAAAAGAGTCGTCAATGTTCTCTGTGGTACCAGTAAAATTCACACAGTAGAGAGTACAGGATAACAATGAGTTCGTAACCACATCAAACGAAAATTACCATTCAAAGTGCACCTCGAGGTTAAGGTTACGAATAGGAACTTCCTGCCATAAAAATACATTATGACGAAGACAGACAGATTTAAGGTATGTCATCTATGTCATCAGATGCTTAGAGAAATGAAGAGAAATCCAGATCAGTTATAGAATCATCCACAAGAGAGCACAATAATAATTACATAATCTGACGATAAAGTTATAAGTTACTATGTTCTAGCAACTGTAATGAAAAATTACGTGAAATGCATTTTGATTACGTTAATAAGCTGGATATCTTATTTTGACCTTAATTACAAGAATTTTGTACGCATCGTAGTCACTTTACTGAATTTTAACTATATTTATTAAAACATAATAGTTAATTTTTTAAGTTGTAAATTATTACTTTTTATTAATTTGTCATAAATGTTTATTCACTAGAAAGTTTTGATATAATGAAAAAATATATATTACTTTAATCATCAACTAGTTATAGTTCGATTTTCACATAGCGTACTTTATATTTATCCATTATGTGAATTTTAATTTGCATGAGTTTGTTATTATCCACGTAGCCTTTATTACCTCTGATTTATATATATAGATATATATATGAGTTAACAGACTGGTAATGGAAAAAATATACATATTTTTGTCTCACTTTGAACGTTTTAGATTTGTAATAATTTCATTATTGTTTTATAATGCTGATTTGATTGCCTATTTACAATTAATGTATTTGATAGTATAACATAGACGTAGAAAATACAGTATTATGAATTATAACCTAACACACCCAAAAGGAAAATAATTTAAGCTATTTTTTGTAAATAGAGAGAATCCACATTCCTTTTTTCAGATTTTTATGAATACGAATGAAATGTTTTAAATGCTCCACTAAGTAGATGTGATGTGAAACACACAGATACAGAATAGAAAGAGTAACAAGGGTAGCAAAAGGACAAACGTCAATAATGGAAAGAGATAAAATAGTTTTGAAAATAACACTAGGCCTATATTGATTGACAAACAAAATAAAATCGATTCCACACATATAATAAAAGATAACAAAACAGCTTTATGGAACTCGGGTATATACAAGAATCACTAAAAATTATATTTTGCCAATTATTTAACAAAAACACTTACCCGTAGAATCCCGGGAAAAACGTCATACAAGCAAGAGAATTTGATCTTATTTCCAGAATTTGACAGTAATTATCTTCCCATATTTTACCATTCCATCTGGAACACTAAAAAGGAAGAGATATGTTAACAGTTATTAGTGTGTGCATATATAAAAATAACATTTTTCAAAAATACTCCAAGAGATCGATGAAATGGGTTACAATGTTTGTTTGTTGTTAAACGCGAAGTTACACAATGGGCTATCTGTGCTTTGCCCACTACGAGTGTCGAACAGTCATTTTTACCTCTGAGCCACTGGTGGGGTGGGGGCGAAATATATTACAAAACAATAAGATTTGCAAATAGAATTATTTTGTAGAATTGTATACATACGTGTGTATCGTATTATGGATTTCAAATTTGCTTGTTTTTTTTTCAATGATGCTATTATTGAGTGTTAGTATTTTTAGTTTTAATGATATTTTGTTTTCGTGTATATCCTAAACAGGCAAGTAGAAGATTCTTAGTGTTCCAGTATAAGTGCAGGGCGTGCACAGGAGAGTGAGTGGGTGGACTCAAGCTCTTTCATTCCTTATCATATGCTTCAAAAATGATCTTTTTTCAGTCAAACAAATTTGAGACAGCTACTAAAATATGTGCCCGATTTCACACCTTGATTCCTGTGAGATATTAAGGAAACAGGTTTAATAGGGCCTATGACGAGGTTAGGCTAACTCACGACTTTAAGTTACCAAAGAATGTTTTATTAACATGATACAGAAGATGGGAAATGCATAGTAAGATTATGAAACACAAAAGCATGTTAACTCAACAAAGAGGTGAGTTTGTCCCGTATTCGGATATAAGGTACAAGAATTATGTAATAGCTTAATATGAGTTTATGTACACCCAAACGAACTGCTGATACGAGACACATTGAAGACAAATTATGAAAGAGGCTTAAATAGTAACCCAATGAGGTTAAATGTAAATCGGGTAATATTCCTCCACAAGTGACATTAATAGATTTAATAAAATTAGATACGAAATTACCACTTACAGAAAAGTATATATATATATATTCAAACTTTGACATTTACCGATAAATTTAGTGGTTAAATTTTTTTTTCTACAAAAGTGGCCAAGAATAATAAAAAAAAGGGTAGTGCATTGTAACAGAAGAAACAGGAAACGTTAACTGTTGCTTGAAATACAGTTTTCAGAAACACATTACAATGAATTGCTTGAAAAGAGAGTGAAAAGAACAAAATATACAAGTACTTTGTTCTAACTTTGGGTTACAGGGTAACATAGCTTATGAATGTAGATGTCAACAAAATATACATTTAAGAAAATGCAAAGGGTTAACATGTTAAAAAGTTACTAAAGCCCATGGCAAAACAAATTACATATGCTAGTTTAGAGTAACTACCTTTCTTCCATGGATTTGCAGAGTGGTTATTTACAAGTCGATATATAAGAAAAAGTCAAAGAGAAAAATACCTTTATATTACCTTCAGGGAAATATCAGTTTAATAGAATACTTTTTGGTTTATGTAGTGTTCCTTCAACATTACAGAGGCTATTGGATGTAGTATTACCAGGTTTACAAGACTTTGAATGCTTTTGTTATTTAAATGAGGTAATAGTCTTTTCAACACGTTTTGAATAACACCTACTTGGTAAGACATGTGTCTCATAGATAACTCAGGGCAAACTGGAAGTTGAGACTCTTTAAGTTCCATATTTTGTAAAAAGGAAATATATATAATTTAATCCTGTAGTGGCTGCAGATGGCATAAAACCAGGCCCAAACAAGTTAGAAGTATATAAAAATTATGCAGTGCCAAAAAAGTAAAATACTTTAGGGTTTTCTTAGGTTTCGTACGATTTAATTGAAGGTTTATTTTATATTTTGCAGTACTTACAAAACCTTTAAAATGATGTCATTTTTCATTGGATAAAACAGGAGGCAAGAGGCATTTAAGAATTCATAACTAAAAGCACCAATTTTGTGATTTACTCAGGTTTTAGTGAAAGAGATTATATTAAGTACAGACATTTCTGATTATGCAACAGTAGATTTTTATAAGAGTTAGATAAATATGGGAAAGGAAACTATATAGCATGTCAAAGTAGACAGCTGAGTAAAGCCCAAGATGTTTAGATGACAGATGTTTAGCAGTAGTACACAGTTTTAAGACATTTAATTTTATGAATATGGTATAACGCTCACCATAATTACACACCATGCACCCTTGCAGTGGTCAATGACACGAAATGATCCTTCTTCAAGATTAGCAAGATGGTTCACTACCGTTACAGGACTATAATTTTAACATAATATACAGACTATCGTTTGTTTGTTTGAAGTTAAGCACAAAGCTACGTAATGGGCTATCTGTTCTCTGCCCACCACGGGTATCGAAACCCGGTTTCTAGCGTTATAAGTCCGAAGACATACCGCTGTGCCACTGGGGGGCACAGACTATCGAAAACGTTGCAATGTAAATGCGTTAAGTAGAATTAGAGAAAGACACCTTGTGGTAACTTCAAAACAATATATTAACAAAATATGTAAGTGAATCAAAATAATGAAAATGACTATGAAGGAGTTTGAAACTTAGATAACGTTATTAACCAACAAAATGAAAATGTACCACTAAGCTCATTAAGGTATAGAGTATTACATGGAGAAAGAACTGACTGAATACTAAATTCAGGTGTATTATGGAGAAAAGTAAAAAACAGAAGAAATATAGTAAATGTGCCATAGATAGTTGTGCCTCAAACTGTAACAAAAAGAAAGCTATGAGTATTTATCATGATACTCCATTTTCTGTACATTTAGCGTTTGTAAAAAACGTGTAGTAGAATAAATAAAATATTATTTTGGCAAAACATGATAAAGTATATTAAAAACTTTCGTAAATCATTTATTTATATGGTATAGATGTCATGATGCTAATACAAGATATATTAGCCCAAGTAAAGTTATTCATCCATTAGATTAGGACTATAAAGTTTTCTTTAAAATCATACGATACAAAAACTGCAAAATTAGAATACAAGTTAGTAAAAGTTTTTATGTATATTTCACAGTAGAAATGGCCATTATCGTTATAAATTAATGTGTTCAGAAAAGAAAGTTTAACATTTGATTAAGACTATTTTATTGTGCACGTAACATATCTAGCACTTATGAAGCCTTGCATAAAGCATTTAGTAACATCAAATAATTGTTATGCAAAAAATGTTTTTATATTTATGTTATTGACGGAATATTTCGTTACTATGAAATCGAATATACCTTCAGTATACGTAGTACCAAAATATCTTGCTGTTATTGTCTTGCCATAGATGGGTAAATATTACTTGATTACTAAAAATCATTTAGGAAACGTACTTCTTAGGATATTTCTTTAAATACATCTTAGATGCGCTTTTGAACATAATTGACGCCTAGAACTTTTTTTTTCAGATTTAAGTACAATATTCTTGCATTAAAGTTATAAAATTGTAAATTTGCTTGTCCCAGCTGACATTAAGACTATATTGGGATCACTAAACAAAATTTACTCGTGTGAACGAATATGCAACTTTAAGATCAAAAATGAGATCCAATGTATCTAAACATGATTTAGATGAATGTGACGTAGCAAGGCCTGATAGTTAGGACACTGCATTTACAATGCGTAGGTTCGCATCCCATCATCGATCATGTTCGCTCTTTCAAATGTGGCGGCATTATAATATGACAGTCACTGTGGCCCGGCATGGCCAGGTGGTTAGGGCACTCGACTCGCAATCTGCGGATCGCGGGTTCGAATCTCCGTCACACCGAAACGTGCTCATCCGGTGTCCGAACTAGGACGCCAGTCCTACTCCCAGATACTCACCTCCAACAGAATTTGGAGGTGTGAGAAACACCATACGACACAAAAAAATGACAGTCACTCTCATTATTCATTGGGAAAGAGTAATCAAAAAACTGGTGGTGGGCAGTGTTGACTAGCTGTTTTATCTATAGTTTATCACTTCAAAATTAGGGGCAGTTAGTGCAGATAGCCCTCGAGTAGTTTGTTCAAGATCAAAACAAACATGTTAAACAGTTGTCCATTCAAATTATTTTAAAGCTTGCTCATACACAACTGAAACGGAAAATTAACCAAACATATTCAGCGTGTAAGTTATTCTTATTAAAAACAATGTACATGGATAAGTTTGGTTTGGTCATTGTAAAGAACAAAGCTACACAATAGTTTATCTGTCTACTGCGAGTATGGGCAGAGGGAATTATAAAGAATTCAGAAGCAATGGTAAAAGAATCAGTGTTAGTAAATTCATTCAAAGTAACGGGCTTAGGAATAGGAACAACAAATTTACAGAGATTGTAACTGTAGGACCTACAGATGAGAGAATAGGATGAAAAGTGTATCCAGTTTTGTGCACTTTGAGTAGGCCATAAAGAATACCGGGTTTAGAGTCACAATGAACAATTTGATGGAAAGTCATGTCAGGGATAATATTTTGGTCATTAAGAGTCTTGGAAAAATCGTATATTCTTATCTTCTCTCTCCCTTAAAAGCTAGATATAGTAAGTCAGTCTCCAGATTTTTAATTTATAAGGGTTACTGAGTTAGTGGTTCATTTTATTCATACAGTTGGCTATTTATATAATGACAATACCAATACATTTGATTCAATAAATAACTGCGGAGGCGAGGAAATAACAAAATATAATATGGAATATGAAGTGGTGGTTAAAAATAGAATTTAAAATAAAAATTTGGCGAGTTTTTCGCCACTACTTTATATTCTACAATACCATTACCTCTGCCTGGTTTACTGACAATAATATCTTTGTGCATGGATAGAGTTTTAAAAGAAAGTAGTTCACCATTATTTAATGGAGAGATAAGAGTTAGGAGTTATATCTGTAGGAGGGAAAAAGAGATGTTTTTAATTTATTAATTAAATATCATACGGTGTATTATTGTTCGGGTTAGTAAACAATGGAAAGGTTCTGTAAACTTTTCAAAATTATAAATATAATTAGCATTGTTGAGTTTGAAAGTTTAAAGATTACATTTTTAGGATTAAAACCTGGAGAGGAAGATGAATAAAGTCGTAGTTTAGAAGATTTTTATTTTGGATTTGCTCTTGTTTGATTATTAATCGTTGGTTATTCTTATAAATTGCATACATAAGATAGACAAAATAAAACAACAATAAAAGAAACTGACTTTCGGATATCCAGGTGTTGAAATTTTAGGTTAGACAGAAGTTGTCGGTAGTGCTTGTGTTTAAATTTTATACTTCCCTTTAGACCTGACAACCAGTGGCACAGCGGTATGTCTGCGGACTTACATACAACGCTAGAGACCGGGTTTCGATACCTGTGGTGGGCAGAGCACAGACAGCCCATTGTGTAGCTTTGTGCTTAACTTCAAACAAACAAACAGCAAAATAATAAGCTTTAGGATCACGATTTTTGAAAAATACGAAAATTATTGAAAATTACACATAATAAGTAAATGTCTAGCTTGAAATATTTATTGTGAAACATACACTGTCGATAAACTGTAACGAAAAACATACCTTAGCATTTTCATCATAAGTAAGTATTGGAAAGGCTATACTAATTTGAAATTCTTTTCCCCAGAACATGGCACCTTTTTCTGAATAGCTTGGCATTATGCTGATTACTTCACTAATCAACTTGCTGTCAGGCCTTGGAAAAACATATGTTGCAGCTTCCAAAGAAAACTGTTTTACAGAGATACACAGTGTCTGACAAATACTCTTATCTGGACAAGTGGAGTATTCTGTAGAAAATGTGAAAGTTATCTGAAAAAAAAATCACGTTTCTTTGATTAGTAAAGTTTTGGTAACAACATTTGTATCTCATTCTTAACTATATACATAGTGTGTATACGCGTACGTGGGCGTGTTTAAAACTAATAAATTATACACAATTATATCTATTGTATATTTATACTAAGTGTAAAAGAAAGAAATGAATTCAAAACAAAATGATTTAGATATAACTGTGTGATTTTGATGTTTTTTGTGGTGCCAACAAATTATTGCGTACTAGAATATTGGCAGCCAATCATTGATTCTGATTTCTACTAAAGATAAAGAAAACTACTGAACAGATAACAGTCACATGAATATATTAAGGTATAAGAAACAGTTCTTAGTCATTACACATTTTTAATATTATAACATTTGATATCTGTTAACAACAACAAAAAACCCCAACAGATTACGATTCTAGGGCTTATGATTACATTCTTAGGCATTACACTGTAATCATTGTCAAATTAACATTATGAAAAAAAGAAGAGTAGCATAAAAGCAAGTTCAAAGGGTTTGACTAGATGATAGTGACATTTGGTTCTTTTCACAAGAAAGGAAAGCAACGAAAATAGCGTTGGATACTAACTTACCTGAGAGAACAGCAGATATATTTGATTTAGAAAAGCGTTATCAACTTGTCGGTGCATTTTATTATTTTAACCTGTTTGAAATCCATTCACAAGATACACAAGGGTGATCTGGCCAGCTTTTGTCACCTACCTCATTAACCATTCTTCTATATTCAGATCGTGCGTGTTTCAAAATATAAAAAAACATACAAAAAAGCTATTATACGTTTTAGGTTATAATATTTAAAATAGCCAGGATTATTTTTAGATTTATAAACAGCCTTATAAATATAATTTTTTATTGTATAGAAATGAGAAAAGAGATCTAGAAAAATGCGATAGGGCATTTTATGTGTTAAAGTTGGTAATTCATTCTAATTTGTAAACTGGGTATGCTCTATCAGAAAATCTAGATTATTAAGTGTCTTTCATTTTCATGGACCGTTAGTACTGGTAATTCACAAGATATATTTTACACGGTGAATGGTAATATAATATTCGAACAAAACCCATTAATTTGTAAAATCCATTACTTAACATGAACAAAAAATTATTATTTTATAAATTCATTTCCATTATCGATAATGTGTTAATGCTAGCATTGTGACTCAATAAGGTGCATGGGGACTTTATGAAGCAGGTAGGAACGTGCATTAATCCAGACAGATAATCAACTGTGTTAAATCCAGTTGACTTATTATTCTTCATATATATATATATACAAGTAGGTTTAAAGTTTGTAGATTGAAACTTTT